ATTTCTCCGTAAGTTTGCAAAGCTTCCCGTGGCCGCGGAAAGGTAAATGGTGTCCAGAGAAAGTGGGTGGCAGCTGGAGGCATTTTTAACCGATATCTATTAGTATGGGGGTTGTTCATAGTCAATCTACTGTGTGTGTCTTTATCTCTGAGGGCTCAGCTATCCCTGCTTCTCTGGCCTCACTCGGCTGCTTAGAACCAACTTCCCCTTTTTGTACCAGTCCCGCTTTGCTCTGTGTCACGGTGTGTCTGGCACAGTAATAGGTGGCGGTGTCTGCAGTTGTCAGCGAGCGGAGCTGCAGGGAGAACTGGTTCTTGGAGGTGTCTCCAGAGATGGTGATTCGGCCTTGGAGAGACGGGGCGTAGTTTGTACCCCCACCACTATACATGTACACATACCCCATCCACTCCAGCCCTTTCCCGGGACCCTGCCGGACCCAGTCCCAGACGTAGTTGCTCTCAGTGATGGATACACCCGAGACAGCACAGGTCAGTGTGAGGGTCTCTCCGGGCTTCACCGCTCCCGGGCCGGACTGGACCAGCTGCACCTGAGAGAGGACACCTGGGAAAAGAAAAACAGAGCAAGGAATTAATTAATCACAGAATGAACCTATGGCTCTGTCCCGGATTCCCCCGCTCCCACATAGACACTTACAGGTGGGGACAGAGATCAGAGAAAGGAAAAGCCACAGAGATTTCATTCTCATTGTCGTAAAATGAGGGAAACTCCCCAGCGGGCAGGACCAGGCAGTTCTATGTCTGGGGAGAGACTGAGGCTCCTAGAACCAGGGGTTTGTATTTAACAGGAACCCCCGGGGCAGGGATTTGCATGCAGGTTCCCCAGGGCGGGTATAAGAGATGACGGGGGCGGGGGGTGATCGGTCAGTATATGGTGATGTCCCCTCAGGGACAGGTGTCCCCTTTACACCACACACACTGTGCGCTTGTTATGCAGACAAAACTACACGGGATCGTTTCAGGGGGCAAGACAAAGATGCCACATTTATTATGATAACACAATTTGATTTATGACCAATAACTAAAACCTAATACCTATCCACACACACACACATCCACACACACACACATCCACACACACACACACACACATCTACACACACACATCCACACACACACACACACATCCACACACACACACACTCCACACACACACACACACACACACACACCACACACACTACTACCACACACACACTACCACACACACATACACACACAC